AGCACTTCTGATCCTGAGCATCTCAGATAAAGGATATTCAACCTGTAGCTTCTCATATAGCAAAATTCACACTCTCACCTCAAGCAAGATCCTCCTGCAATTTAGTTCCCTTGAAATCTTCTGGTAATACAAAATGAAGAATGAAACAGGCAATATTTCATGGATATGCTTGCATATTCTCTCACATTTCCTCTAAAATTCCCAAATCCCCAACCAATTTTGTAGTCTGCCACTTCATTTTCTTCTTTTTCACACCCACCTATTACCAGCTATGGATTTTGACCGAACTCCTCTTCCACACTCAGTAATAATAATAATGATATATTCTAAGGAAAAAAGCTGTTGTGTGCAGTGGATGGCTGTGATTATGTCCTTAATAGCCTGCTGGCATCCGGTGATGAGATCCAGTGGACAGAGGTGCAGACCCGAGCAGTAAACTCGACTCTGCCAGCCGTGCTCCACTTGTCTGTCTAAAATGAGGGAGGGCTTAACTAGGTGGTTGTGTGACCGTCACCTCTCTCCAGGCAGTGTAGCCGAGGACCACAGCAGAGATTCTGGAGCCCTTCCAGTTCCAGATAAGAGATTCTAGCACATCCTCTCCCAAACAAAACAACCTTGAGCAAGATTCTCCATCTCCTCATGTCTTGTTTTCCCTATCTGTAAAACAGACAGGCTCAAATAACATAGCCAATGTGATTGTTACAGAGATTAAGAGTGTTTAGAAGAATACCTGGCAGACAAGTTCTACATGAACTACATGAGTAGCTGTAACAAACTCTGGATTCTTTTAGAAAGGAAGAAAGGAAGAAAGAAAGAAGAAAGAAAAAAAGAAAGAAAGCATTTTTTATATAAAGCTCACACACCATGTAATTCACCCATGTTAGGTATATAACTAGATGATTTTGTTAGTATGTTTGAAGAATTGGCAACCATCGCCATGATGCATTCTAGAACTTTTTTTTTTTTTCTAAAACATTTTATTGCCTCAAACAGAAACTCCATATCCTTCAGCCACAATCCTCCGACACAACCTCAACCTTATCCCTGGTCCTCAATCACCACTACTCTACTATATACCCCTTCAAATTTGTCTATTCTGGATGGTTAATATAAAAAGAATACTATAATATGAGGTCTTCAGTGACTGGCTTCTTTTGTCTAACATAAGTTTGTCTATATTGTTGCATAAATCAGAACATCATGCCTTCTTATTGATGAATAATATTCTATTGTGTGATATGCCCACGGGGTATTTGAAAGACTTTTGGGTTGTTTCCACATTTAGGCAGTATAAATAATGCTCCAAAAACATTCACATATTAGTAGTGTGTGGATATACATGCACATGTCCCTCGGGTATAAACTTCAGAGTAGGATTTCAGGGTCCTTTCTGAACACCATGTTTAATAATTTGAGGGGTCACAAGACTATTTCCCACAGCAGCTGCATCATCTTTTTATCTTCACTAGCAGTGTATAATGATTCCACTTTTTCTACATCCTCATCAGCACTTGTTGTTATCTGACTTTTTATTTAAGCCATCCTCATTGATACAAAGTAGCACTTCACATTGGATTTGATTTGCAATTCCCTAATGACTAACAATGTCGAGCATCTTTGTATGTGCTTGTTAGCCATTGGTGAGTATGGATTCTTTTAAAATGTCTACTGCTGATGCTTTCAAAGCCCTTTTACCACCAAGACACTCTAAGACAAGACCCAGTTCCAGGTTCCTATAAGAGGTTGAGGATCCAGTTTACTATAACTTAAAAACACTATGTCAATTCTTTTAGCCCAGTGATTTCCAAAGACCCCAAATATCACCACAGGTTTCCTCCTGTTATGTGTGAGGCCTCCCATTTACAGTCATAAGTGATATGGGTCATTCATATCTTGTGTAATGCACATGGAAATAATCTGACATAGGGGTTGGAAACATCGAAGTCTTACCATATCCAGAGAAAGAGCCTCCATAAACTAGCCAAAGCAGCTTGACAAATTGATTTATTTCCATGTCCTCATTGGTCAAGCAAGATTTATGATATCTAATTTATAGAGCTGCTGGGAGGAGAAAATCAGATAATATTTATTCAGCCAACACTAGGGAAATGAGTAGGCAGAATACTTGCATATGTGCCTGTCAACTGGCTTCTGCTTGCTATAAGTGATTTTCAAGTCATCTACAGGTTGATTCTCCAACCTCATCAAGAAAGTGGAGCCCAGCAGGACCTAAGGTATGTGCTGCCCAATGGCACCATTTGCTGGAAGACTGAGAAAAAGAACTGGACTCCCAACCCCCAAGAGCCAAGTGGCTGAGGCTGAGTTTTCAGAAGAACTTCATGTCATGATCTGCAGAGTGAAGGACCTAAGGCACAGGCCCTCCCAGCGTGGGCATCTTTTGGATGCTGCTGGAGTTCTCTTTTATTCGGAGAAAGAATCAAAAAGGAACAAAGTTCTCCAGGCATGAAAAGAAGAGCTACATCTATCAATGAGAAGATGCCTTCCCCGCCGGTGCAATCTATTCTCTTCCGCATTCTTCCCCTTACTATGGATTTGTAACAGATAGGCCTGCAAGGGACTCCAGACGGCCCCATGGTTTAACAGATCGATCATTTGCTGCCACCTATCGGTAGCGTGTTAAATGTGACCCAAGGAGAAATTAAAATTGCACCAGACTGTTACTGCACATTTAAATATACTTCTACAAAGAGCATCAAAGAAGCTTTTGGCTTATTACTGTTTTTAATAGTGTGCAGAAATGTAAGAAGGGAGATTTAGGATACCTAACAACTGTATAATAAATATTTTCAAATCTATCTGAGAATAATGATTCAAATTATGCTACTGGTTTGAAAAATATATTTTGATTTGTCCAGCTCGCTACAGCCTTTAACTGAGAGCAAGTTTTAAAAAGAAACAGAGGTCAAATTAGGCTAATAGACTCTGAATAACAAAATTATCATTTCTTTAAAATTAAGGTCATCGAAACCTATTATATCAAAAAAATCCATTGGTCATGTTCTATGAAATTAGGATCTTCACGATTATTTTTAATATTACTTTCTCTGCACAGCTAGAAACTTCTGCATATAGAGACAAGTGAAGGGATTTTAATGAGAATAGCTCAATTGTGTCCTGAAATATTTATGGCAGCTTTGCAAACAAGTATAAAACATTTACAAGTGCTGCCTCCAAACATACCCTTCAAAGATAGGAAATGTACTCCCTGATTCACCAAAGCATAACACACATGTTGTCTTTCACTTATCTGGCCTGACAATTTTGGGTAAATTTAAAAGTCTAGAGTAGATTGAACCAAATAAGAAAAATGAGGGATGGCATCTTTAGCTGGGGAGCAGAGAGTGAATTGTTCTATGCACATAATTCTTAAAATATTCATCACATCTCTGGTTGATATTCCTGTCTCTCAACTAAGATATATAATCTTATACAATAGAAAACATATTTTACTTACCCTTGTATACCCCCCAAACTATCCCAGTGTCTGAACTTTAGACTGAATCTGTATAGATTTGGTCAATAACTACGTATTTTTGTACCTACTGTGTACAAATTACTATCCCAGATGTTTATTCTGAGAACTGTTGTGGAGGAAATGAAAGGAGACAGGGAAGGGAAGAAGATAATTTTTAAGGCTGTGTCAAAACTGATACTGATTTTAGCAATGCAGCCAACACGTAAGGCAGGAAAAATTGTATTAAATGGATAAACTTTGACAAGGGTCTTTTGAGTGGCTAATGAATCCACCATGTGAATTTACTGCACTACCAGGAAGATACAAAGAACAAGCCAGGTGTGGTGGTGCACTCCTGTACTCTCAACATGTGGGAGGCTGAGGCACAAGGACAGTTATGAGTTTGAGACCAGCCTGGGCTACAAAGCGAGCTCATGCCAGCCTGAAGTGCATAGTTGAGGCCCTGTCTCAAAAAGGCTATAGCACTTAGAGTAGTTCATGTCACATGATAATAAATATCTATTGAATGAATAGCAAGATTGCATGCAGCTACTGTTTCTACTATCTGGCATACTTGTGAACTTAAGGCTTTTCATGGTCTCCAAGGTTACGTAAGAAAAAATTATTTGGATTCCAACCGGCATCCAAATGTTTGGTTTCTGAGATTCCAAGACCAGATCATGTTGTACTGCTCAGATCTCAGATCTGACCCTAGCAAATAAACACAAAAAACAAGACAAGCGAACCCACAGCTTCACCTGCCTCTGCCACAGAACCTGACTCCATCCACTTCCTGCCCGACACTATCAGAAGGGTTCCATGATAATCGCTGAATTACATAACCGCCCAAATGAGATTGTTCTTCCATCTGTTAAGGGCCATCAGAGCCCTGTGCAATGAATTTCAATTTAAGGAGCTTTATGTCCCATCTGGAACAAGAGGATTCATTCCTATATACGAGGAAAAGAGCATTGTGAGTTTAACCTGGTTTTAATGGAAATGACTCAATTCAAATTTAAAATTTTAAGTGGTGTTTAAATATTGCATGTTTCCACACACTGAGCAAGAATCATGTTGCCAACAATTATTTTCAGAGTCACATTTTCGCAGCAGTAAATGCTCATTAAACACAAGCCATATATGCAAGGACTCTCACTGCAGCATTGTCTGGTGAAAAGAAAAAGCTTGGCAAGCCCCCAAGCAGCCATCAAAGGAGATGGGATCATGAAATCATGTTATGTTCATACCATGCAGCTATTAAAAGGAATGAGGTAGATCTACACGTGCCAGTGCGACAAGAAGTCACAGGCACTGCAATGTATGAGGAAAAGCAAGACACAAAACGCTATTCCTGTCTCTTGTCCGGATGATAACAGCAACAAATGTCAGTATATACACATCAAGAAGCCTGGAAGACCGTACAAAAAACGGTAATTATTCTGGAAAATAACACAATGGGATAATTTCACTTGTAACTTTATACATTTCTGAAATGTGTATAGTGATCATCTATTACTTCTGCAGTTTAAGAAGTTTTGGATTTATTTCATTTTAGATATAAATACATACAATACATTTGAGTTTAGTAAACAAACTGAAAGCTTGAAACAACAGTTTGTAAGTCAACGAAAAGTGATCTGTTTAGAGAATTACTGGGGCTACGAGCCTGGCAAGGATCTGGAACCCTTAGTAAGCTGGACTTTCTTAGGCTGAAGGAGAAATTTGCCTTCTGGGTTCTGACAGTGCAGTTCACTAACTGCTTCCCCATCTACACACTTCCTATGTGTGTAGCAGAAATAATGCGATCACTACTGTTGATGAGCTGTAAAGATAGCACCACTCTTTGTTGGTCTGGCATATAAATTTTTTCACATTTCTCTTTCGTTTGTATCCCATCTGTCAAGTTTCTTTTAACTGCTATTTTTTAATATAATCAGTATCTCCGGCACATTCTCCTTCATAACTTCATTCTGTCATTCCTTTGAAGTGCTTTATTGTGTTTATTTTAAAATCTTGATCTACATGATTACTTCTAGTTCGTATAATAATGTAATAGTCAGGGCAGAAGAGAGACGCTGCGGTGACAAGTCATCCTGAGGGTTTCAGGAGCTGACACAACAAAGCTTTACTCCTCACACACAGGCAGACAATTCTCCTGCCGTCCGGCTTCCATGGGGTAGGTTCCTTTCATATTCCAGCTCTGCCATTTCGGTCTTCATTATTAGTCACCAAAAAAAAAAGTATGGAAAAATAGACTCAAAACATGGAAAGCTCACACCTACTCACATCTCATTATCTAGAACTGGTCACATGGGCCTAACGCAATACCAGGAAAGGCTTAGACTTGGCCGGTGAGCACCAAGGCATTTGGTGGGTGTAGTGGATTGGTACCTGGTGGTCAACTTAAACACCAGTTGAACAGGATCACTGTGATGCTGAGCGTGAATCCTCACTTGGGGACAGTTGCCAGCATGAAAAGGAGATGTGGAGAGGAAGAGTAGCATTGTGGGTCCTCCTAAGTGTTGTTGTTTGGAGCCGTTGGCTCTCCTGGGGGGGCTTGTCATGATGGCTCCCCTGATACGAACTCAGCTGTTGTCATCAGAGGAAACTTGGGACCTTGTCACTGAGAATGGCTGCACTTCACTTTGGGGAGCTCTGGTCCTTACTTTGAGCATCACTTCCTGGCTCCAAAGGAGAGGACATGTGCTGTTCAATCTCAAGGAGAAGCCTGTCCCACTGCTTCCTGATATGGACTTGGCTGTTACTATCAGAGGACCTCGGGACCTTATTGTAACCGAGGATGGCTATGGTACTTTGCCGGGGAGCCCTGGTCCTTATTTTGAGCATCACTTCTTGACTCCACTGCAGAACCCTCTACCTACTGGTACAGACCCTTCACCCCACTGGCATAGACTTTCTAGACTCTACCACTAATCTTTGGGTCTTCCCAGTGCAAATGCAGGAAACAGACATGCATGAGTCATTGTCGTGGGCTCTAGGTTTTCAGCTGAACTCATGCAGGCTATTGCCGTGAGATCCAGACTCTCAGCAGGATTTTCTAGGTCCAAGCACTCTGGAAGCTGAAGCAGGAGGATGGCCCTGAGTTCAAAGCCAGCTTGGCTACATAGTGAGACAAAAACCAGCCTAAACTAATAGCACGATTCTATCTCAAAGATGAACTTTCCCTTAATTGTGTTCATCCACTGCTCAAGACACAGACGAAAAGAAAGCAAACAAGGAATGCCAGGTAGTGGACCCCTCAGCTGCTCTAGGGCCACTTTTTTGCTTTGCAAAAAGGTCCCTGCCCAGCAGTCAGGGCCCAAGGGACAGGCTGCCAACTGCCCAAAGCAAACGAGGCAAGAGGAAAGATCGCACTCAACCTCTCTTAAACATACAGCAAAAGCCTCTCCATCACGCTCTCCTTTCTTCTCCATCCACAGCACCACGTCCTCCTATTCTGGATCTCAGGATTTCTGCATTCTTGATTTTCTCAGACTCTCAGATTTCTTCACATTCTCCCACATCCGCAAGGTTAGGCTGGTCTGGAAGGGGAAGCAGAAACCTTTCCCAGATCACTGGGATTTCAGACACCAAGGTCCACAGAGTTTACACCACAGATTTCTAATGCCTCTTTGAAAATCGCCACGGGCCTTACTACAGTGATTCCCATCACATGATGAGGAAAACGCTTCTCCCACAACAGGCAGCCCCGGTACACACCTGTGCTGCCCCATGGGCATTGTATCACTCCTAAAAGCAGCCTGATCTCGGCAGCCCTCTTCTACTAACCACCAGCTCAGCTCTGCACAGCGCCAAGGAGAACGGGCCAGGGGGTCAGGCTCGAAGATGGAGAGGCAGCCAGGGCTTCTAACTCACATCCTGCCAGGAAGTCGACTTTGAGGAATATAATTAGGTAACAGGGAGCAAACAAATGAGACATTGTGGTCAGTATTTGTTGGTATCAGGGGAAAGTATATATGATTTGTTTATGGCTTATGCTTAAAATATCATAAATATAAGCACCTCAGTCCTAGCATTATAGCCTAAACCACAATTTAAAAGAAATCCTTCTTCCCCAACCACTTGACTGAATCAAAATATACAATCATGCAGAAAGGTAAAATTACTTCTCCCCCTCTAACTAACATCCCAGCGTAACAGAGGCTGTTGGTTTCGTAATCAAAAATCACTCTCTGCCTGTCTGTCTCAGATTTGCCTCGAACAATAGAAGAGGAAAACTGCGGTTCGTGCCTGGCCAGCCTGCCTTGCAGCCAGAGTAACTGTGTAATACTAAGGTTCATAAAAGAAATCTCCTTGGGGAAGCAGATTGCAAGAAATATATCTTACCTCACAAATAATAGACCACTCTTAAGGGGTGAGAAAAAAGCCTTTACCTCTGTACCCTTCCCTTACATTTTACTTTATTTCTACCTTCAAATGTAATCGCAGTGTCTGGAGCTGTGGGCATCCTTAATTTCCCTCTTGTGGCTGCCTCAATGTTCTGAATCAACTCAAAACATTTACATTTCACGGTCATTCTGGCTTTGAGAAGGAGCTAGAAGTTGCATGGTCCCCTGTCCTTTTCACGAAGGGCACTCAGCGTTTTCACTAGTCTGACTTTCCATGGGACGGCTCCTGACAGCAGCATTCACTGTGTTTTTTTATTACTCCTTGTAAAGACCTTCATGAAACAGGACTTCCAGGGACGCTTCACGAGCAATGGGACAGAGCCAGGTGTGGTGGCGCACACCTGTCATCCCAGCACTTGGGAGGCAGAGGCAGGAGGATCACCACAAGTTCTAGGCCAGCCTGGGCTACATAGTGAGTTCAAGGCCAGCCTGAACCACATAGGGAGACACTGTCTCAAAAAAAAAAAATCAGTGGGACAAAACCGTGTCCAAAGTGATGGGGGGAATTTTGAGGACTTGTGGCAGTGTGTCTCTGATCCTAATAAGTTTTTTAATAAATGCAAATGTTCTCTGTATTTTTTGATCATCCATAATAGGCCAACAGCAGAAAAGAAGTTTCTTTCCTTTTCTTAAACCCTTTGAGGCACTAAAAGTCTTTGCTGAGAATACCGGGTGCCAACTAAGGAACAGTAACTATATTCAATTTACTCTCTAATTGACTTAATTATTTATTTGATACTACAATTAGAAATAACATAAAGCCTGGCCTGAGCCTCCCTGTAGCAGCTGACAAAATAATCAGTTCTTTGCTCATCTCTGTCAGTTTTTATTTTTATAGTGACCTCCACGATTTCCAGCAGAAAAGCCTCTTAGATCCATACAAGTGGCAGACAATTATGAGACTCATGGTTAAATTATTGCAAATTCAGACAAGATTAAAACCTTTTTTTCTTCTCAGGGGCTGGAAATTTAGCTCAGTGGTTGAATCACTTGCCTAATATTCGGGGGGCCCTGGGTTCCACTTCTAGCATCACAAAAAAATTAATTAATAAATAAATAAAAATAAGAATTTTCTGGCTTATAAATAAAGTTTATATTGATGCAGATAATTAGAGGAAATAAAACAAAAATACTGTGCAGTAATAAAGAAAATGAAAATCACCTACAATCCTACCACCTAGACAAGGCCATTATTAAAACTGTATTATAGCTCTATGTAATTATATCATATGTTAAGTGTATGTTAGGTAAATTTGGGATAATAAGGTAAATAACTAATCATTTTCATTTACTTTTATATTAGAAACATATTCTATACAATTAGCTATTTCTTTTAAAACATGACTATTAATGATGATAAAATGTTTCACTGTTGAATAAACATAAATTCTACGTAATCATTTCCTTATCATTGAGATTGGATTTTTTTTGAGAAAGGGTCTTGCTACATCAGGTAGGCTGGCCTCAAACTCACAGCAATCCTAGTGCCTCAGCTTCCCAAGTCTTGGGATTACATGCATGCGCCACCAAGCCTAGCTCCATAATTCATGAATAGTCTAAATAATCCTCTATTTGAATGTCCTTAAATTAAAATAATTACAGTAATGACTAAAGTAAGAAGGCAAAGTAGAAAGTAGCAGTGGGTCAGTGTCCCTTCCACCGCTGGCACACAGGGCCCCCACGTCAATAGACTCCCTGGAAGCTCACCTCTGGTCATTTTCCTATTGCATCCCTCTTACCAGAACCCAAGCAGCAAGAAGCCTGCTGGTTACTGGTGGTGACTGGAGCCAAGGAGTGGTGCAAACCGTCGGGCTGGGGCTCGATCCCCGGTATCAGACAACTGTTCCATAGAGAGGCCTCGGGAACAAAACAGAAAATGACACAGGCAGCCTGAGGGAGCCAGCCACTCAGCTGACCTCGAAGGCCGATCAGGGGAGCAAGAGAAGCAGAACAACCAACAAGGAGTGGACTACAAACACAGCCACTGAGTCAGAGACATTTGTCCTTGCTGGGGGCTTCGCTGCAAAGGAAGCCGATGTGGCCAAGAGAGAAAATATTCTGAAGGAAGTGTGTGCCTTTGGGCTCCAAGGTAAGGGTGAAAGAGAAGTGGACAGGCTGTGCACCTTCCTTCCTTCAAGCCACCATGAGATCATCAAGCAAGCAAGCAAGCGTGTGTGTGTGTGTATGTGTGCATACATGCATGTGTGTGCATGTGTGTGTGCAAATGGGAATTGAACCCTGGTCTTCACAGTGAGCTCATCCCCAGAACCCCTCCTTTTTTAAATTTTGACTCAGGTTTCTCTAAGTTACCCAGATTGGGCTTAAACTTGCATTTCTCCCGCCTCAGCCTCCCAGAGTGTTGGCATTGCAGCTGTACACCCCATACCTGTATGCGATGGATAACTTCCTTATCACCTAACACTGTAGAACCTGCTCAGAGATGAGAAGCACCCCTGAGTACCTTAAGGAATCCACCTGCCAACAAGAAAGGGAGAAACAACCCCGCATTTGGAGACAAGGACAGGAGAAAGATAACACTGTCTCATGTCTACATCCCGTCACTTCTGAGTTGTTCCACTGTAATTTACAAGCACACAGTGAGATCCTAGTTTTGCTATTTGCTTTCAGAGTGTCCCTGGAAAAGTTATTTAAATTCATTGGACATCAGTTTCCTCCTCACTGAAATGGAGCCAGTAATATTTATGTCACAGGGTTGTTATGAAGATTAAAAAGATGACATCTGTCAGGACCTTAAAACCCAGCACCCAGCCTGCAGTTCACGGTCAGTAAATGCTAAGAGTATAAGTGAATATCTAATGTGAAAAGATACTAAAGACTCATACAATCAATGGCTTCAAACATCAGAAAGCTTCTCATATAGAAGAGAATGCAAAATAAACCTGATTATTGAAAACACATGCTAATAAATTTTTTTATTTTTAAAATGAGAATGTGAATAAGCTTATGGTGTTTCAGAGTGAGCAAATGGACAAAGAGAATGATTGAAAATTCCACGAAGCAAATTTTAGCTCAGTCTAAGAACAAATCCAGCCATCGAGTTCATAAAACAATGAAGCAGACGGCTTTGAGTACTGTACTCACCACCACCCACCGCCGCAGACATGATGTCAGGATATTGTGAAAATTCTGGGCTACCAGGCACGTGGACCCAGATTATTCTCAGGTCCCTTGTTGCTCTCGTACTCTATCTATATGTGATGCCGAGATCAATAAGGAGTCCCGCATAACAACCTCCCATTTTTTCCTAAAGGGAGAGTAAATGGCTTTATCTGAGGGGTGGGGGAAATCCAGTTTCTACATAACAGAAGAGACTAGGGCTGTGTTCTATTTTGTTTTTTCATTTTAATGATCAGAGCAAACTTCATAAAAACCTAAGGCAAAGCCACCAAAGGGGTAAGTATAGTTTGCAGCTGCAGGTGGGTGCTCCCACTTTCCAAGGTCAGCAGGCTGCTCCTCTGGATTGCACATTCACCCGGGTCACACAGGGCTGGGTGGAAGCCCCGCGAAATCTGCCTGCCTTGTTCCCTTCCAGCTTTCCCTCGTTTGCCTTGCTCTGTCTTTGCCAGAGCAAAGGTCAGCAGAGTTCTGAGCCAGTCCCTAAGTGGACGGCAGCTGCTCCCTACGAGTCTTCAGTTGTGCGCTCCTGCGGCCTCAGTGGCCCAAATGATTGCAAACATTTACCTTTCATGTAACTTTACCTGTGGGGGAAAGTTAGAACCCACAGCGCCTGATGCAGTGAATCAGGTGGATGAGGACACGTTGTCATGCTTTTTACAAGCCTGCCTTCCAGTAGGTGGCGCTTAGTGGCAGGGACACTCACATTTTTAATCACACCTCATGGAGGAAAACTTGCAGAACTTCAGGAAGTCACCAGAACAATGGCATGACTGCGTCCACAGTGAGGGGAGTATTTTGAGGGAGATGAATAGCACTTTCACTGTAACAATTTTTTTTCTCTTTCTATCAGTACCAGGAATCGAACTCATGACCGCCTGCTTGCAAGGCAAGTGCTTATGCCGTGTAACAATTTTTTTAATTTAAGCATTCACCATATATTTTGATCATGGAAAGGAAAGGTCACTGCGGAAGCCCCCCTCAGTGAGAGCTCACAGGAAATTCCCGGTGCTCTCTCATCCCAGGAGCCACATGGATGCTCTCCAGCCTCATTAGCTGCTAGGGTTACTTTCTATAGAACATTCTGGAAATGTTATTGAAGCCAAATGACAGAGGAAATTTATCCCTCCAGGTGCATACAGAAGTGGCTGGGGAGGGTGCCAAGGGCTACATAAAGCAGTTCACTAGTGCCTTTCCATGTAAGAAACTTAAAACTCTCCATTTTCCTCATTAATATTCATTAATTGCTCTAACATAACCCCCTGCCCCATTAACATTTGGCAGATTCAATACAGCACGCACCCAGAGACATTCCAAGTATTTTTCAGAGCTTATAATGGAAGCTTATCATAAAACCCATCAATTTTCACTGAAAGCTGTGCTAATGAAAGAATCATTTTGCCAAAAGAAATATTGACTTTTAACATGAAACTCCTCAAATCTATGACTATATCATATATATCAAAAAGGAGAAATTTTGTACATCTGATCTGGCTAACTATATAATGCAAAGTCTGTGACTAATTCATTTCACA